GGGTTGAGTTGGGTTGAGTTGGTCATGGTTGACTGGAAGAGGAAGAGGGGGTTGGGTTGGGTTGGGCGTGGTTGAGTTGAGTTGGTCATGGTTGGGTTGGGTTGGTCATGGTTGAGTGGAAGAGGAAGCGGGGGTTGGGTTGGGTTGGTCACGGTTGGGTTGAGTTGAGTTGGTCATGGTTGGGTTGAGTTGGGTTGAGTTGGGTTGAGTTGGGTTGAGTTGGGTTGAGTTGGGTTGAGTTGGGTTGAGTTGGGTTGAGTTGGGTTGAGTTGGGTTGAGTTGGGTTGAGTTGGGTTGAGTTGGGTTGAGTTGGGTTGAGTTGGGTTGAGTTGGGTTGAGTTGGGTTGAGTTGGGTTGAGTTGGGTTGAGTTGGGTTGAGTTGGGTTGAGTTGGGTTGAGTTGGGTTGAGTTGGGTTGAGTTGGGTTGAGTTGGGTTGAGTTGGGTTGAGTTGGGTTGAGTTGGGTTGAGTTGGGTTGAGTTGGGTTGAGTTGGGTTGAGTTGGGTTGAGTTGGGTTGAGTTGGGTTGAGTTGGGTTGAGTTGGGTTGAGTTGGGTTGAGTTGGGTTGAGTTGGGTTGAGTTGGGTTGAGTTGGGTTGAGTTGGGTTGAGTTGGGTTGAGTTGGGTTGAGTTGGGTTGAGTTGGGTTGAGTTGGGTTGAGTTGGGTTGAGTTGGGTTGAGTTGGGTTGAGTTGGGTTGAGTTGGGTTGAGTTGGGTTGAGTTGGGTTGAGTTGGGTTGAGTTGGGTTGAGTTGGGTTGAGTTGGGTTGAGTTGGGTTGAGTTGGGTTGAGTTGGGTTGAGTTGGGTTGAGTTGGGTTGAGTTGGGTTGAGTTGGGTTGAGTTGGGTTGAGTTGGGTTGAGTTGGGTTGAGTTGGGTTGAGTTGGGTTGAGTTGGGTTGAGTTGGGTTGAGTTGGGTTGAGTTGGGTTGAGTTGGGTTGAGTTGGGTTGAGTTGGGTTGAGTTGGGTTGAGTTGGGTTGAGTTGGGTTGAGTTGGGTTGAGTTGGGTTGAGTTGGGTTGAGTTGGGTTGAGTTGGGTTGAGTTGGGTTGAGTTGGGTTGAGTTGGGTTGAGTTGGGTTGAGTTGGGTTGAGTTGGGTTGAGTTGGGTTGAGTTGGGTTGAGTTGGGTTGAGTTGGGTTGAGTTGGGTTGAGTTGGGTTGAGTTGGGTTGAGTTGGGTTGAGTTGGGTTGAGTTGGGTTGAGTTGGGTTGAGTTGGGTTGAGTTGGGTTGAGTTGGGTTGAGTTGGGTTGAGTTGGGTTGAGTTGGGTTGAGTTGGGTTGAGTTGGGTTGAGTTGGGTTGAGTTGGGTTGAGTTGGGTTGAGTTGGGTTGAGTTGGGTTGAGTTGGGTTGAGTTGGGTTGAGTTGGGTTGAGTTGGGTTGAGTTGGGTTGAGTTGGGTTGAGTTGGGTTGAGTTGGGTTGAGTTGGGTTGAGTTGGGTTGAGTTGGGTTGAGTTGGGTTGAGTTGGGTTGAGTTGGGTTGAGTTGGGTTGAGTTGGGTTGAGTTGGGTTGAGTTGGGTTGAGTTGGGTTGAGTTGGGTTGAGTTGGGTTGAGTTGGGTTGAGTTGGGTTGAGTTGGGTTGAGTTGGGTTGAGTTGGGTTGAGTTGGGTTGAGTTGGGTTGAGTTGGGTTGAGTTGGGTTGAGTTGGGTTGAGTTGGGTTGAGTTGGGTTGAGTTGGGTTGAGTTGGGTTGAGTTGGGTTGAGTTGGGTTGAGTTGGGTTGAGTTGGGTTGAGTTGGGTTGAGTTGGGTTGAGTTGGGTTGAGTTGGGTTGAGTTGGGTTGAGTTGGGTTGAGTTGGGTTGAGTTGGGTTGAGTTGGGTTGAGTTGGGTTGAGTTGGGTTGAGTTGGGTTGAGTTGGGTTGAGTTGGGTTGAGTTGGGTTGAGTTGGGTTGAGTTGGGTTGAGTTGGGTTGAGTTGGGTTGAGTTGGGTTGAGTTGGGTTGAGTTGGGTTGAGTTGGGTTGAGTTGGGTTGAGTTGGGTTGAGTTGGGTTGAGTTGGGTTGAGTTGGGTTGAGTTGGGTTGAGTTGGGTTGAGTTGGGTTGAGTTGGGTTGAGTTGGGTTGAGTTGGGTTGAGTTGGGTTGAGTTGGGTTGAGTTGGGTTGAGTTGGGTTGAGTTGGGTTGAGTTGGGTTGAGTTGGGTTGAGTTGGGTTGAGTTGGGTTGAGTTGGGTTGAGTTGGGTTGAGTTGGGTTGAGTTGGGTTGAGTTGGGTTGAGTTGGGTTGAGTTGGGTTGAGTTGGGTTGAGTTGGGTTGAGTTGGGTTGAGTTGGGTTGAGTTGGGTTGAGTTGGGTTGAGTTGGGTTGAGTTGGGTTGAGTTGGGTTGAGTTGGGTTGAGTTGGGTTGAGTTGGGTTGAGTTGGGTTGAGTTGGGTTGAGTTGGGTTGAGTTGGGTTGAGTTGGGTTGAGTTGGGTTGAGTTGGGTTGAGTTGGGTTGAGTTGGGTTGAGTTGGGTTGAGTTGGGTTGAGTTGGGTTGAGTTGGGTTGAGTTGGGTTGAGTTGGGTTGAGTTGGGTTGAGTTGGGTTGAGTTGGGTTGAGTTGGGTTGAGTTGGGTTGAGTTGGGTTGAGTTGGGTTGAGTTGGGTTGAGTTGGGTTGAGTTGGGTTGAGTTGGGTTGAGTTGGGTTGAGTTGGGTTGAGTTGGGTTGAGTTGGGTTGAGTTGGGTTGAGTTGGGTTGAGTTGGGTTGAGTTGGGTTGAGTTGGGTTGAGTTGGGTTGAGTTGGGTTGAGTTGGGTTGAGTTGGGTTGAGTTGGGTTGAGTTGGGTTGAGTTGGGTTGAGTTGGGTTGAGTTGGGTTGAGTTGGGTTGAGTTGGGTTGAGTTGGGTTGAGTTGGGTTGAGTTGGGTTGAGTTGGGTTGAGTTGGGTTGAGTTGGGTTGAGTTGGGTTGAGTTGGGTTGAGTTGGGTTGAGTTGGGTTGAGTTGGGTTGAGTTGGGTTGAGTTGGGTTGAGTTGGGTTGAGTTGGGTTGAGTTGGGTTGAGTTGGGTTGAGTTGGGTTGAGTTGGGTTGAGTTGGGTTGAGTTGGGTTGAGTTGGGTTGAGTTGGGTTGAGTTGGGTTGAGTTGGGTTGAGTTGGGTTGAGTTGGGTTGAGTTGGGTTGAGTTGGGTTGAGTTGGGTTGAGTTGGGTTGAGTTGGGTTGAGTTGGGTTGAGTTGGGTTGAGTTGGGTTGAGTTGGGTTGAGTTGGGTTGAGTTGGGTTGAGTTGGGTTGAGTTGGGTTGAGTTGGGTTGAGTTGGGTTGAGTTGGGTTGAGTTGGGTTGAGTTGGGTTGAGTTGGGTTGAGTTGGGTTGAGTTGGGTTGAGTTGGGTTGAGTTGGGTTGAGTTGGGTTGAGTTGGGTTGAGTTGGGTTGAGTTGGGTTGAGTTGGGTTGAGTTGGGTTGAGTTGGGTTGAGTTGGGTTGAGTTGGGTTGAGTTGGGTTGAGTTGGGTTGAGTTGGGTTGAGTTGGGTTGAGTTGGGTTGAGTTGGGTTGAGTTGGGTTGAGTTGGGTTGAGTTGGGTTGAGTTGGGTTGAGTTGGGTTGAGTTGGGTTGAGTTGGGTTGAGTTGGGTTGAGTTGGGTTGAGTTGGGTTGAGTTGGGTTGAGTTGGGTTGAGTTGGGTTGAGTTGGGTTGAGTTGGGTTGAGTTGGGTTGAGTTGGGTTGAGTTGGGTTGAGTTGGGTTGAGTTGGGTTGAGTTGGGTTGAGTTGGGTTGAGTTGGGTTGAGTTGGGTTGAGTTGGGTTGAGTTGGGTTGAGTTGGGTTGAGTTGGGTTGAGTTGGGTTGAGTTGGGTTGAGTTGGGTTGAGTTGGGTTGAGTTGGGTTGAGTTGGGTTGAGTTGGGTTGAGTTGGGTTGAGTTGGGTTGAGTTGGGTTGAGTTGGGTTGAGTTGGGTTGAGTTGGGTTGAGTTGGGTTGAGTTGGGTTGAGTTGGGTTGAGTTGGGTTGAGTTGGGTTGAGTTGGGTTGAGTTGGGTTGAGTTGGGTTGAGTTGGGTTGAGTTGGGTTGAGTTGGGTTGAGTTGGGTTGAGTTGGGTTGAGTTGGGTTGAGTTGGGTTGAGTTGGGTTGAGTTGGGTTGAGTTGGGTTGAGTTGGGTTGAGTTGGGTTGAGTTGGGTTGAGTTGGGTTGAGTTGGGTTGAGTTGGGTTGAGTTGGGTTGAGTTGGGTTGAGTTGGGTTGAGTTGGGTTGAGTTGGGTTGAGTTGGGTTGAGTTGGGTTGAGTTGGGTTGAGTTGGGTTGAGTTGGGTTGAGTTGGGTTGAGTTGGGTTGAGTTGGGTTGAGTTGGGTTGAGTTGGGTTGAGTTGGGTTGAGTTGGGTTGAGTTGGGTTGAGTTGGGTTGAGTTGGGT